ACCTTATGTATTAAAACCCATTATATACTAATAACACCCCAAATCAGTGCTGAATCAAGAACTTATCGAATCGGCCATATAATAATTTGATTAATTGCACACCAAAAGTCCCAAAATTTATGGGAACAGCTAGTAATTTATTAACGAACGTCAGAATTACAAATTTATTACATAACGAACATTTTGAGATTGAAATACTCTAAACTCTAACCCTAATACACTCACAGATCTTATTCTAATTTCTAAAACCCAAAACTCAACATCTAAGAACAGAAAAGAACCGACGCTTCTAAAGTAACTGATATAAACAAATAACACTCCTCAAAAGAACAACGAAAATAAATCAAAAATCAAAAAAAAAAACAACTATTAACTAAAGATAGACACCAAATACAACGACTCTAGTGACGACTCCAACGACGATTTCAATGACATTAGTCCAAAAGAGCAACGAAATACCGAAAGCTAAGACTCCAAAGAACAAAATTACGATGACTCAAAAGAGCTACAAAAGACAAAACAAAAGTTAGTAAGAAACAAAAAAAAACAAAGCCTAAAAAGGACACCAAAAACAAAAACTCCAATGACGACACCAAAAGCGACAACTCCAACGACAATAGTCCAAAAGAGCAATGAAACACTGAAAGCTAAGACTCCAAAGACCGAAATCATGACAACTCAGAAGAGCTACAAAAGAAAAAATGAAAGTTGGTAAGAATCAAAAAAGAACAAAGCCTAAAAAAGATACCAAAAACGAAAACTCCAACGACAACACCAAAAGCGATGACTCCAACGACAATAGTCCAAAAGAGCAACGAAACACCGAAAGCTAAGACTCCAAAGACCGAAATCACAATGATTCAGAAGAGCTACAAAAGAAAAAATAAAAGTTAGTAAGAATCAAAAAAGAACAAAGCTGAAAAAAGATGCCAAAAACGAAAACTCCAACAAAAGCAATGACTCCAATAACGATTTCAACAAAAGCTCCGAAAGCTATAACAACTCCAAAGACAATGAAAGAACTACAAACAAAAGTTAGTAAGAAACAAAAAAAGAACAAAGCTTAAAAAAAATACTAAAAATGACGACTCCAAAAGCGGCGACTCCAATGATGATTTCAACAAGACACGATAGTAGGGCAAAAAGGGGAGTTCTGGCACACTTTTTCGGTACCCTGGGTACTAAAGTATTCATTTTGCTTTTTAGAT